ATATATATATATATATATATATAATTTACCTTTAATTTATTTATATTTTTTCAATTTTTCAATTCCCTGCCAATTTTTCAGTTAGTTGGCCACATTTCTAAATTTAGTATTTAAATTTTATTTTATTTTAGCTTTATATCAATTAATGAAAAATATTTTGAATAGGTTTAGTTTTGGTTAGCAGTAACACGACTGGTGCTCGACTCTGAAATATTTCTTTGCCTAGAAATGTATCTTTGACAGTACATTATCGATGAAATTATTAAAAAAAAAAAAACTTTTTATTAGTAAGTTGGTTATCAAAAATGACAGAAAAGTGGAAATTAATTAGTCGAAAAGTGTGGGAACTCTTGAAGTCATTTTCCTCTGACAATCATACAGCGTTTAGGGCTCATTATGCAAAACCAATCAGGATCAAGGATTAATCACACTAAAACTGATCACTGTATATAGCAGTCATTCTTGTAAACTTATTCACTTTAATGTTTTGACTGTTTTCAGATTTCATAGTGTCATGGTATCCGAATAAATCTGGTTCTGACAGATTTTCTCTGTATGACTCTCTTCTGTTAACTCTATGTAGGTCATTCAGGAAGTAAGTAACTTGGCAAACAGCATTAATGGAAAAGAGAGTTCATCCTCTCCAATGATACTGCGAAAACTAGAGCTGGATAAGGTAAGGCTGAACAGTTTACTAGCATCCTGTAGCCCAGAGTACACTAAACGGCTAACCTATACTGATTACGATGTTGACATGAACATAACCAGCGTGGTGATCCCTATAATTGCTCTGTCTGTTTCTTGGTCATTGCAGATGATGTCACCAGATAAACATACTTCTGATTCTGACAGCGCAGCCAATGGAGACGTCACCCGTGAGATCTGTGAGAACGGTATGGACACAATCGATCAGCTTCTTTGCTTAGCGAATGCTTTTGGGGTCAGAGTCGGTTTTCCAGCTGTAGAGCGTTTCCTCTTGTTAGTTCTGTGATCTGATGTCACGCTGAAACAATGGCATTAGGAGCTCAGGAAGGATGTAGCTGCTCTGTTGTTTTTGATGAGGTTAAAGTTTGTCCCTTTTGGTATGTCACATCCTTCTTTTCTTTTTTTTTAGGTTTTGTATTGGCATACACATTATATTGGTAATATTATGTAATATCAGCCGATGTTAGAAATAGTTTTTATTTATCATTATTGGACAAATATTGAAACTGTATCTGTGCATGCCATGTCATCGAAAACTCACTTAAAGTTAATAACATTAATAATTCATTAAAACTGTTAAATGTTATTTTTTAGCAAATCTCAAAATGATTATACATTTTTCATACTGTATATTATGTTGTGATGCCTAAATTCAGTAGCATTTAAATAAATTGATTTATATATTTTATTTTTATTTATACAAAATAGTATCAAATTTTAATATCAGCCATTTACTAGTTTTCATCTAAAACATAAAAATAGTTTTCAGTTTATTGGTATCATCTAGATTTTTAATAGTGTGTACCCCTAGTTTTGTTAAGTTCAAAAAATGAAATGAAAAAAAAACAAAAGTTTTATTAGCAACTTAGTATTTGTAAATGATAGAAAAAGTCATTCACATCAAAAAGCGCGGAAACGTTTTTTTGATCCCTAAATTCACTTGTAACATTTCAAATGATTGATTTTATTGTTTTAATAATGTTTTAATGTTTAATAATGACTTATTTGGACAAATTAGTATAGAATTAACCATTCAGCCATTTATCGGTTATCAGCCAACACATTAAAATAATTATAGGCTTATTGGTATCATCCAAATGTTTTTTTTAATTATTTAATTTTAAAATGTGTAAAAATTCTGGATTTCAAAAGCGCACATACCTAGTTTCGTCAAGTTCACTTTTCAAGTGTTTCAGATGGATCTTGATTTAAACTATGCGTAAAAACACGTAAAAACTCATTGCCACAAGAAACAGCTATAGACGTAAAGGGATAGTTCACCCAAAAATGAAAATTTGATGTTTATCTGCTTACCCCCAGGGCATCCAAGATGTAGGTGACTTTGTTTCTTCAGGAGAACACAAACGAAGATTTTTAACACAAACCGTTGCAGTCTGTCAGTCATATAATGGAGGTGGATGGGAATCATGGCTTTGAGGGTTTTGTTTGTGTATGTTTTTTTGACTCTCAAAGCCGTGTTTCCCATCCACCTCCATTATATGACTGACAGACTGCAACGGTTTGTGTTAAAAATCTTCGTTTGTGTTCTACTGAAGAAACAAAGTCACCTACATCTTGGATGCCCTGGGGGTTAGCAGATAAACATAACATTTTCATTTTTGGGTGAACTATCCCTTTAAGTATGCTGTTTTTTCCTCAACATTGCAAACAAAGGAAGTCAACGGCATGTTCGTTAATAGAATCCAAACATTTGTTTCGTGTCTTGTCCTTGCACTTTATACATCCTCTTATGATGCTTCCTGTGCTTCTTCCTGTAGGGAAGGGCAAAAAAGGGACATTCTCTGAGCTGACTGGATCTATGAGTCGAGCCGCTGGCAGGAAAATCAACCGCATCATCAGTTTCTCCAAGAAGAAGCCGCCCCTGCCGGGCGAAACCAGCACGCTTTCCCACCTGGATGACAATCCCCGTTGTGGTGAGGGGACATAAATCCACTTTCCCTCCACTGTTGATCTTCTTCATCTTTTGAGACGTTCCTTCAAGTCTCTGATAGTTTCTTATTTTTTGCTAGGTTACTTGAATGTCCTGGTCAACCAGTGTTGGAAGGAGCGCTGGTGTTGTGTGAGAAATGGGACTCTGTATCTCCATAAGGACAGAGGGGACATTCACACCCATGTTAGTGCATTAGCCCTCAATGGTGTAGACGTCTTACCCGGTCTTGGACCCAAACATCCTTTTGCCTTCCGCATCATGCGAGCGAGCGCAGAAATAGCCGCCCTGGAGGTAATAAAATTGATCTTTGTTACATTGTGAGATCTTTCATTAAAAAAGGTGTGATTTTGTAATACAATCAACCTCAGGCGAGCTGTTCTGTGGAGATGGGCCGCTGGCTGGGGGTTTTGTTGGCTGAAGCAGGCAGCGCTACCACCCCTGAGGCATTGCATTATGACTATGTGGATGTGGACACCATCAGCAGCATCCAGAGCGCAGCACGACACTCTTTTCTGTGAGTAGAGATGAGGATATTTAGCTTGTTCCAGTTTGGATGTGTAAAGACGTTCACTCAGATTTATAGTATTTTCATGATAATTCTTGTTTTATTACATTTTTATGCCATAGGTGGGCGACCTCCTCTAGCAGCACCTCCACAGATCCACGGACTTATGACGAAGTTCCCTATGAAAGCGTGTTGGTACGGTGTTCAGTTAAAAATGCATCACATTTTTTGGTAACACTTTAGTATAGGGACCAATTCTCACTTTTAACTAGTTGCTTATTAGCATGCCTATTATTAACATACTGGCTGTATTAATACTTATAAATCACATATTCTGCATGAGAATATTCTACATTCCTAATCCTACCCAATACTTAAACTTAACAACTACCTTACTAACTATTAATAAGCAGCAAATTAGGAGTTTATTGAGGCAAAAGTCATAGTTAATGTTGCGTTAATAGCGAGAAATGTTCCTTCAAATAAAGTGTGACCATTTTTTTGGGGGGGGGGGTAAATATGATTTTGTGGTGTTTTGTAAAATCACACCCCTCAGCAACAGTAAAGACTATTCTATTTCAAATAGATGCTGTATATTTGAGATTTTTATTCATATAAAAATCCTGAAAAAATTATCACTGTTTTCACAAAATTAAGCAGCGGCATTAATAATAATAAGAAGAACATGAAGGATCATGTTACACTGAAAACTGGAGTAAAATGTCTGCTGAAAATTCAGTGTTAGCATTACAACAAATTACATTTTAAAATATATTCAGATAGATATTAAAGTTATTTGCAATAACTTTTCACAATATTGTTGTTTTTACTGTATTTTATCAAATAAATGCCTTGATGAGCATAAGAGACTTCATTTAAAAATATTTTAAAATTTTATTGACCCCAAACATTTGAACGATAGTGTACATTTGGCATTCATGATCTAAGAGTATTATAAAACTGGCATTATATGACATTTGAAAAGAACGTTTCAGCCCATTTGGGTGTTGTTTCTGGACTTAGCCATGATTAACCACAGTTCTCTCAAAGTTTTAGTGAATTTTTGAATTATCCTGAAAGGCAGCAACAAACATGTCTTGCTGTTTTATTCTCTGCTTTACTTCCTAAAATATTTTTTGTAGCACCATTACTTTCTTTGTTGGGAGGTTAAGTTGTGCAACTGACTTTGTTATGTCTAGTCAGCTACAAATGTTCTGTCATTGCAAGCATGTTCCTTTATAAAAGGGAACTTTTGAGGAAATTTTTAAATAAGCACATTGTGTAATGCTGAAGTAAATACTATCATACTGGAAGGCAAGAATGTTGGATGTTTACAGAAACAAACTGTAATTTCTCTCTTCCACCTGCAGGTAGATGAAAATCAGTCTAAACTGAAGCGTTATTCCTCTATGTCCAGTATGGACACAGCCAAAAAGAGGGTGGTGAAGGAAGAGCTGAAAAAGGCGACTGGTGAGAGAATTGACTTATTTGAGTGCTATTTAATAACATGCAAGGTGGTTTGTCACACTTTTTGCAGTATTTGGCGCCACCTGCTGACAATATCCTCAGTAGTGGAGCGATTCATTTGATGTGATATGTTTTGTACGCGTGCATCAGATAAACAGCAGAAAGCCATGGAGCAGCATCTGGCCCAGCTGGAGGAAAGCTGCCGTCAGAAGGAAGCTGAGCGAGTGGACCTGGAGCTGCGACTTACGGAGGTGAAGGACAAACTGAAGAAGTCTCTGACTGGAGGAATGCTGGGGGCGCCTGTGGAAGGCAAACCCACCATTAAGGTACCTGCATTCTTGACTCTTAATATGCTTTTCCCTCAGATGAACCTGATTTTACAATGAAATTCATTCGTATCTTAATACCTGTAGGTTCCAGGCAAAAAAAAGGAAGATATTTACAATGGTGCCACTGTGCCGGTCAATTGTGCTTCTGAAATGAAGAAACGCCCCCCGTCGATATATGCATCCACCAAAGGAAATGTCATGCAGAAAGCCAAGGTATACGGTTGCATAAATATTCAATGAAATATTCAAAACCAGTGTTTGGTGTAATGCATTACAAGTAACGCAAGTTATGTAATCAGATTACTTTTTTTCAAGTAACTAGTAAAGTAATGCATTTACAAAAAAATATTTGAGTTACTTTTTCAAATGAGTAACACCGGTTACTTTGTTTTCCCATTTATTGACTGACAGCTCTCCTGTCCCGATGTTGAGAGAAATCGGGAGTAAGTGCAGAGGCGTGTTTAAAAATGTTTAAAATGTGAACATGCATTTACTCATCTCATTTGCACATGCAAACTCAGAATATGATGTGAACCTGCACTAATTAAATATGTTAAATGACAAATGTCCTTTATGTATTTAATCCCATTTTTATTAACCAGTGTCTTTGCTACTGACCTTATATCATCCAAATCAACCATAATAATAAGCAAAAATGACTTTAGAAAAACATTGTTTCATTGTTTCCTTTTTTAATTGCTGAAGAGTGTTGTACTTTCTTCTCCTGCATCCTATTCTTCATGCAATTCAGAATAGCAGCACAGCTGAAAGATTTGTTTGAGCGGCGCCCTCTACATACAGATGTGAAGTTACATTTCGTTCAGCCTGAGGCCTATTCGTTTCACTTTTAGTGCAAAAGGGATTTTACATTTGCCAAAAATATCACCTTTTATATTAAAAACAAACAAGTAGGCCAGCCCAGATGAGAAAAAGTTAGTAACGTAGCGCATTACTTTCCAAGTAACTTAAGTATCGCATTTCGTTTTAGGGAGTAATGCATTACTTTTAAAAGTAACTTTCCCCAACACTGTTTTAGAACTTATGGTGATGATTGAGATTTATAAATGTGATAATATCTGTTGTATTCTGTTCTTATGTGTTATTTTAATCTTTTTTTGTTCTGTTTTATTTTTTTTATTAGGAATGGGAGTCAAAGAAAGTGAAGTAATTATAAAATTGTCATCAGAGGAGTCTGAGGATCTGTGGCTTTGGTTGGCGTGTTAAAGGAATAGTTCACCCAAGAATAAAAATATGCTAAACTTTTACTCTCAGACCATCCAAGACGTAGATGAGTTTGTTTCTTGATCATAACAAATTTGAGGAAATGTAGCTTTACATCACTTGCTCACCAATGGATCCTTTGCAGTGAATGGGTGCCGTCAGAATGAGAGTTTCAACAGCTAATAAAAACATCACAATAATCCACAAGTAATTCACACGACTCCAGTCCATCAATTAACATCATGAGTACACAAGGGCATGAGTCCATTTTCAGCAGTTTTTATTTTTGGTTACACTATTCCTTTTTAAGCAAAGAAGAGATTGCATCTGTGATCATCCTGTCTGTCCACTACACTGCACTTATGCACGGGACAGTTGACCGTATTTGAAGGTAGTCTGTAAATAAAAATGAATGTTAAATAAAAAAATTGCATGAAGATGGCAAGGATAAGGGAATGTTCAGGAAACAAAAGTGTTTTGTAAACACCTATTTGTTTAATACAAGAGTTAAAATAGGTGCCTGAATTATATGAAAATTGTGTTTTGTTTTGTCTTTTCACATCTTATTGTATAATACCACAGGATACTTATGTGGCCTTCCTGCTGACTTTGTGCTGTTTTGAGATAAAGTGTTAATGTCTCTAGCTGCATCCCTATGCACTTATACACTATGTACTCAACCATATAGTGTATGAATTATATAAGGTTATTTTGTCATTCATAAACGGAGTCTGATAGCCCCTCCCCCTTCACTACGTAATTAAAGCTGCGACAGTTGAATGCATGAAGTGTTCAACATTCCACACTTCGTTTTTTCGGTTATTTAAGTGCATCATCCGGGTATTTAAAGTGCACTTTTTCTTTTTGGAATTTTCAGTGTGAACACACTACTCACACTATTTATACTACAAAACGTCATAGAATAGTGCATAAGTACGCGATTTGGGACGCACTTTCTCTCTTTTACATGTTATGTGAAACTGAACTGCATTCAAAGGATTTTCCCTTTTGTTAACACTAGGGCACTTAATTTACCAGATTTATTTATTTCTATTTTGTACATAAAACCAGTCTAAAGAAAATAATAATTGTTTTTTCTTTGCAACATCTAGGTAATTGTTCGTAATAAAAAGTGTGTTCAAAATGGCTTTGTTGGAGTTCTGTTTATTTAAACAAATGTTTTTTTTTTTAAATTAATTGTGAATTACACTGTAATAATGTCAACTAAAATGGGCTTTGCTTCTAAAAACTGGTCAAATGAACCCTCCTATTGTCCCAAGAAACTGCAGCCATCTGTGATTTTGGATCAAATTGAACCCACATTGAATTCATTCATTCATTCATCAAATGATTTATCTATTTTATTTATATAATATTTATTAACACTTTTTGTGTAAAATATAATGTGTGTGGCCACACATGACGATGATATGGCCACAAAATCCCATGATTTAGTAATTTGTTTGCTTGTTTTAGGTAAATTGTGAACATTTTGTGCTAATTCATTCCCTTTTTTTATTTAAGTTGTGGTTATAATAAAACTAAAACGAGGCTGCAAATTATTACATGCCGAACAATTTGTGGTGACGAGTTTAAATTTGTTCAGAAACGACGAACACGTCGACTGTGGGTCGTTTGGTAGTTTATATCGTGTTTAAAATTGTTTAGCAAGATTGTCCATCAATCACATCTGTCAGCTTTATTAATATCACATCTGTGTTTTGCTTTAACGTTATGTCTTTTCTTAGTTACGGGCTATTGAATGTAACAATACTATTACAACCTGTATTAAAACAGTATCAGATATCATAGTAAGTACACTGGCAAGCACTCTGGTGGGGTTTCTTCTATTTAAGGGGTTGTTTAGTGTTTTCAAAACTTTACTTTCCGTTGTTTAACTCATCAATCCTACGGCTCATTTACTTTCACAACTATAACGTTACATGTTAAACTGACTAAACGTGTAATTATTCGTGATGATGAATGGCTTTTATTGCATTCCTGTGGATTCTCTTTGTTCGCGGCACATACCGATGTAAACGGGTCAAATGAACCCTCCTATTGTCCCAAGAAACTGCAGCCATCTGTGATTTTGGATCAAATTGAACCCACATTGAATTCATTCATTCATTCATCAAATGATTTATCTATTTTATTTATATAATATTTATTAACACTTTTTGTGTAAAATATAATGTGTGTGGCCACACATGACGATGATATGGCCACAAAATCCCATGATTTAGTAATTTGTTTGCTTGTTTTAGGTAAATTGTGAACATTTTGTGCTAATTCATTCCCTTTTTTTATTTAAGTTGTGGTTATAATAAAACTAAAACGAGGCTGCAAATTATTACATGCCGAACAATTTGTGGTGACATTACAAGACAAGTACTGTAGTGTTTTAGGGGGAAAAAATGATCCAAGTGGCTTTTTGGCTTGATCGGCCTTTACATCTATTGAATCCTACCATAAAGAACAGCAAATGTGAAGTACTAAAGCTTTGAAAATATAAAAATATTTTGGGATCAAATCAGATTTTTTTTTGTACTGGTTTCATGTAATATTAATTTGTCAATCAGATATTTTTAAGCAGAAAATGTTATAAAGAAACGTGTTACACGATCATTGCAGCATTATGCTCAGCACAAAGCTAAATACCACAATCCTGTAAATAGTTAATCAAATAAATAAACAAAAAATAAAAGTTGCTCACCTTCAGGCCTCCCAAGATCTAGATGAGGTTGTTTCTTCATCAGAACAGATTTGGAGAAATTTAACATCAATTTTAGCATTTTAGTTTACCACTAGCTCACCAATAGATCCTCTGCAGTGAATGGGTGCTGACAGAATGAGAGTCCAGACAGCTGATAAGAATAGGGATGCACCGAAATGAAAATACTTGGCTGAATACCGAACACGGTTTTTCACATTTTTCCCCCATGTAGGCCTATTTTGCCTTTTTTTTTTTTCACCATTGCATTAATTAAATTGCCAAAATGTGCCTTTTACTGTTTTGTCCTGCTTTTCAAATAAAAAAATCAATTACAAAACAACCATTTAAAAATATTTACTTAACACTGAACAATTTTTTTAACATTCTAGCAGACATTATACCAACAAAGCACAATTTAACTTAAAATTAATAAGTTGCTGAGCAGAAAAGATTTCTTTTAAAACATTAGAATATATTACAGATCCCAATTTGAACACTGTGTGAATGTTATAATAAATGTATTAATAGAGCTGTTGTAGGGTAATTATTATTATCATTATTATTGTCTTATTTTATTTTACAGAACGACAGTAAAATTACAATACTATCATTTATGAATGTTGATAAGAGTTGTTGCTTTTTGGGGGAAGTCGTGGCCTAATGGTTAGAGAGTCGGACTCGTAACCCAAAGGTTGTGGGTTCGAGTCTCGTACCGGCAGGAATTGTAGGTGGGGGGAGTGAATGTACAGCGCTCTCTCCCACCTTCAATACCACGACTGAGGTGCCCTTGAGCAAGGCACCGAACCCCCAACTGCTCCCCGGGCGCCGCAGCAAAAATGGCTGCCCACTGCTCCGGGTGTGTGTTCACGGTGTGTGTGTGTTCACTGCTGTGTGTGTGCACTTAGGATGGGATAAATGCAGAGCACTAATTCCGAGTATGGGTCACCATACTTGGCCACATGTCAGATGTCACGTCACTTTTTTCTCGGCTTTTATTTTGGCAGAAACCCATAGGAAGATCTCAGCGCTTCTTTTTGTTGACAACAGCATGCAGATTTATAAATGATTCTCATTACGAATTTAGGAAGATGTTTGTCGCACGTATCACATTGTCACATGCCTTTAAAAAAAATTCACAAAAATGTTACTGAGCAACTTGTACTGTTACTTGTACTTGTACTTACTGAGTAACAAGTTCAGCGCAGATTTTCCTTGCGCTATGGACTTTGAACCCTGGCGCCGCGAGCTCGTGCAGCGCTGTCAGAATACATGCAATTCGTGCGTGCATTAGAAAATATAACATTCTGCAGTTTATTTACTAATCGTTTAAAAGGTAATTTCGCAATTTCAATCATCATACAGTAACCTAAACACCAGCATTAGCCACCTCTTCTTCTCATCGGAGACATGTGATGCAGCACTAAACAGTCTCTCGCTGTCGGTGCTTTCGTGCTTGTAATGATTTCTGCGTCTTTCTCTGATAGTTTTAAATACTTTAACACTGCCGACATGTTTGCTGCATTAGTGAGTGCCTCTATTTGATCGCGTTAGTCATTGTTCGGTACATATTATTTTGGTTGCCGAATATTCAGTGCATCCCTAGATAAAAACACAATAATCCACAAGTAATCCACATGACTCCTGTTCATCAGCTACACGTAAAATAAAATTTATTCGAATCCACCTTTTTAACTCAACCCTTGGTTCTGGAAAAAATTATCCATAATATTGCTTTCTCCAATGTTGTCTCCTCTGAATCAGGAGTGAAATATGCACAGATTAAGCACTGTTTATATGTAAAAACAGGTTATTGGTGGATTTTGATGTGAGAGGACAAAAGGGGATTAACTTTCATTGGAGAATGCATTTATTATGGATTATAGACTTCCATTTTGGCCAGAAGGTTTAAAGGTAAAACGCCTTAACGATGTATTAGTTTCTTACTTTTTACTTCACAAGATGCTAATTATTGAACTGGAGTTATGTAAATTACTTGTGGATTATTGCAACATTTTTGTCAGCTATTTAATAATCTCATTGATGAGATTAAGCACATTTTGGCCCAATCCCATTTCTACCCCTTAGCCCTTCCCCTTACCGCTCAGGGGAATTCACGCGCATTCACGTGAAGGGGTAGGGGTGTCTCAATTCTCTTTTGGTTGGAGGGGTAAGGGGAAGGGCCAGATAGCCCTTCAAACAAAGATTTTTCGGAACCACACTTCAAACGAAGGGTATGAAATGAATTATCTCAGCGTAAACCGGCTTCAGCGGCAACATGGCTGCCCGAGCAAACAAAAAGATGCATAAATGTAAGCACTTTTGGCATTAATAAAGATTTTAACGAAAAGTAATAATTTGTTTTGTTACATTAAATCGTGATTCATATTTGCTGTTTGTTTTTTGACTGTTTATAGTCAGGTAAACCACTCGTACCAGCATTGCATCATCATTCGTTCCTCACGCCAAGAACAGACTCTGGCTTCAGAACGTGAACCGTTCTGGTGGTAAAAGGGTATTTGTAAGTTATTGTAGCTTTGTAAAAAACCAAACACATTTATTGAAAAAAACAACAGCACTCATTTAGAGTTTAAATATATATTTATATGGTGTTCTGGAGTAAATGCAGCATTAATAAGGGATAATTATCAACTGCTACAGTGACCCGGTCAGTATTTGGTCATTTTGAGAGCATTTTCAATGGTCAGTTTCATTGACTTATTGATAATGCACCATTTTAGTGAATATTAAGAATGCATCGAAAAAAAATACTTTGTAATTCACAAATTAAGATATTTTTGATGGAATCTGAGAGCTCTCTGACCCTCCCATAGACAGCAAGGGTCTAGAAACATAGCAAGGAGATCGTTAAAATAATCCATGTGACATCAGTGGTTCAACCGTAATTTTACGAAGCTACGAGAATACTTTTTATGCGCAAAGAAAACAAAAATAAAGATTTTATTCAACAATTCGTCTCCTCCGCGTCAATCTATAGCGCCATTTTGGAGAGTATCACCTATTTTGCAGAGGAGACGAGTTGTTGAATAAAAACGTTAATTTTAGCTTCTTAAAATTACGGTTGAACCACTGATGTCACATGGATTATTTTAACGATGTCCTTGCTACGTTTCTAGACCTTGATCATGTTAGGACCCTTGCTGTCTATGCAGGGTCAGAGAGCTCTCAGATTCCATCAAAAATATCTTAATTTGTGTTCTGAAGATGAACGAAGGTCTTACAGGTGTGGAACGACATGAGGGTGAGTAATTAATGAAGTAA